ACAACAACAGCAAAAGCAGAGGAAAGAACAACCCCAAGAATACTGGAAAGAACAACCCTAAGAATACAGGAAAAAACAACACCAACAGCACAGGAAAGAACAACAGCAAGAGCACAGGAAAGAACAACAGCAAGAGCACAGGAAAGAACAACAGCAAGAGCACAAGAAAGAACAACAGAAAGTGCATAGGAAGAACCAATTTAAGACTACCTGAACAGAAAACAACCACAAAAGCATAGAAAACAACAACAGCAAGAACATAAGAAAGAACAACATTAAAAACATAGGAAAGAACAAAAGCAAGAGCAAGAGAAAAAACAAAAGTATAGAAAAAAAAAACAACCCCAGGAGCAGATGAAAGAGCAAGGAAAGAACAACTGCAAGAGCATATGAAAGAACAACAGAAAGAACAACTGCAAGAATATTTGAACAAAAAACCTGCAAGAACATAGAAATGAACAACAGCAAGACCCTAGGAAAGAACAACAGCAAGAGCAAAAAAAAGAACAGCAAGAAGAACATAGGAAAGAACAACAGCAAGAACTTAGGAAAGAACAGCAGTAAAACCTGAAGAGCCTCAACCAGGTCTAAGTATGAAAAAGAGATAAATACATATTTATATGTTTAGGATTTGTCAGTATCTAAATTATTTTATACAACCAACTTGGCAATGTATAATAATTGCCTGCAATATTCTAAATTCAGGACACATTGTAAACAAGGAGGATGCATTTCAAGTTATTTACACTTCGGCCAACCATAGATTATTGAAGTTCGCGGAAGCCTAGGCTATCAACCGGATTATCCAGATTTATGCAAACAGAAAGACATGCCTATCACCTTACGGTTACCCTAGTGAAACAGACAGTTTGTAAATGTAGTCGATTTTGTGTGTCATTTCGAAGGATTCATTGACTTGCATCATGTTAATCAATTGTTACTGTAGTATGCACCTGACAAGATAAAGTGAAATATACCAAGCAATAAATTGTGCAATCTATTGTTTGTTGTCTTCCTTGTTCAAATTTACAACGGGGAAACTGCTTATTTCCTGAAATGTATAATATGCCAATAACAATAGGATACTTTTTAAATCATTCTTTCATTATTTCTTGTGAGAAAATGTAGTTGGTATAGCTACTGTTTTGTATACGTCCAAGGATCAGGAACACATTGATATGTATACTGGAGTACCAGTGTGCGTGTGTGCGTTCATGCATGTAAAACTCATTATTTTGATTTGTTATCGTAGCTGCAGCAAATTGTTAATGGAAGCAGATACGTGTCATAATTTTATAATCAAACCAAACAAAAAGCAGAACTAGTCAGCTTTAGATTATCACAGACACGAACAACAAATGAATGTTTCAGCTAAAAAGCTTTCATTAGCACATTTCATGAATATACCATACCACAAATATGAACAAGAAGACACAAAAATTGCTTAACTGAAGTGAACTGAAGTGAACACTGGAAATGGCTACTAACCAGAAAAGGCTTTGGTGAGCAAAGGCTGCAACTAAAAAAAAAATTTAGATAAAACTGTATTGAGTCCATTATTTTATTTCAAATTAACAATTCTGTGTTGTTTATTACTTAGGTGAGTTAACATCACAAAGATGACTAGTAGCCCTGGGGCATCCTGTGATGTTGGGGCATCCTGTGATGTTGAGACATCCAGCAACTCTTCTACATCCAATGCAGTCCTCCGCACCAAGCAGTGCCAGCTCTATGAAACCTTCATCGTCCGAGTGAAGTACAAGCCGAGTTCTCTGCCTGCTCTTGTTAATGAACTGGACAAAGATCTGCTTAATCGGCCTCTAACATTAGGTAACTTTTATTTATGTTTTATATCAACCCTCAGAATTATGAGGTAGTTGCTCCCCGTGTGGATTCCGCGGCCCTATTATAGGGTAAACAAGAATAGACCCACTGCCTACCCAAAAAAGTATGTCGTAAGAGTCGGCTAATTGGGAGCTTCCTTCAAAGTCAAAGTGCATCTGCCTGAGAGGCAAGAACCAAAAATCTGCATACAGATGAGTCAGATCTGTAAAATGGGTGCATTTCTGGAACAGGACTGCAGTCAAGAAGATAGACGAACAACCAGAACTTTCTGCCAGAATTTACAGTTGGTGAACGCGAAGAAGGTTAGGTAGTTGCCAAATTATATAGGTAGTCATGCGTCTACAGAACTTCTGCTCTCTAGTTTTGGATCATTTTATGTTTAAAAATCTTTCAGACCCAGAGCTGCCTTTTTCCTAAGCCTCCTTTACATACTTTTTTCAATGGAAGTACTGGTATGTTGGGAAATGAACCAGCTGACAGACTGGTTAAATGCATGAAAAACTGGATGTTGCCAAGACCCTATGGAAGCTATTGAACAGTGTGGAGGCACAAACAGTTCTTCTGTCTGAATGGAGTAGTGCAACAGGAAGGGACGTCTGAATGGAGTAGTGCAACAGGAAGGGACGTCTGAATGGAGTAGTGCAACAGGAAGGGACGTCTGAATGGAGTAGTGCAACAGGAAGGGACGTCTGAATGGAGTAGTGCAACAGGAAGGGACGTCTGAATGGAGTAGTGCAACAGGAAGGGACGTCTGAATGGAGTAGTGCAACAGGAAGGGACCAATGAATCTGTCTTATGTTTATCTGTGTCCTGGCCTCATTCAGAACATTCTTCTTCTTCATCTTCTTCAGGTTCACCAGCTGTAAATTCTGGACTAGTCTTGTTCCATTGTGTGCATATCTGTTTTACAATTCTGACTTATTTGTATGCAGATTGTTGGTTCAGATTGTCAGTTTCTTGTCTCTCAGGCACATGCACTCTGACTTTAAAGGAAGCTCCCAGTTAGTCGACTCTTACGACATGCATATGTTATAGCATAACTTTGGCCTTCCTACAGATATTTTCCATATTTCCAGTTCTCCATGCAGGAGATCCTTTGCACTGTGGCCATCCTACATGCGCGAGACATGTCCCAGCCAGCGTAGGCATTTTTGCTTCAGTATAGAAAGTAAATTGCTGGTATCCCTGCTTTTCTGAGTACACATTCTTTAAGGACATTGTTTTGTAATTTTATAAGGATGTAAAATACACTTATCATGTTATTGTATGATATCACAACGTCTAGTTCGAGAATGGAGGAGGAGGCAGTCTCTGCTGCCTTCCGCTGGTTTGAGAATGAGCTGTACACACATGCCGGGATTGTAACTGACTCACAGGACATGTTAAGAAAGGTGAAAATAGGCATGCTTCGTGCAGAGCGGCAAGCATCACTTTAGAGGTCCCAGGAAGTTAGCATCTTATGGATATTTTCTCCAGGTCATGCCAGTATGTTGGGAAATGAGCAGGCAGATAGACTGGCTGGCTCTGTACCACTTGGAGGTGAATTGATATATGACAAGTTAGATATTGTGAGGGCCCTTTGAGAACGAGTAAACACTGTGGAGGCACAGATAGATCTTTACGGTCTAAGGAGAATGGCGCTGCAAGGAGTTACCAGGGCTTCTGGCCAACCCTCAACACTCAGAGGTAGCATGAGACGGATATACAATCAGATGGTTACTGGTAGCATCGGAATTGGAACTCTTGGCTTGCTGCTAAAGATGGGGACTGAGCACTTATGGGAACTTATTGCTGTGGCAGCACTCGTAAAATTGCTATTTTCATTGTCATTAAAAAGTGATCATCTGCCTACCTGTGACATGCGGCGACTTCATGGTGATGTGTGGCATACCAACGATGAAATAGGACGTCGTTAATGTAACAAATGCCCCGGCCAAGTGGGGTAGAACAGTAGGAGCCCCAATGCTTCCAAACGCAGTTGAAGAATGAACGCTATGAGATCAGTTCCATTGTTGTATTAACATACACGGGATCAACAGATGAGAAAATGTGCAAAATACTAAGACTCTTGTTGAAGACTCATCCAAACACACCAACACAAGCAACCGCTCGTACATCAACTGACTTCATTACAAACGACGGGTCGCAGTCGGACCTTAGAAAAACGGACAGTCACATCGATCTCAGTCCGACCTTGGAAATCCGGACGGTCATCTCGATCTTCTCTTTGGCAGTCTGAACAAGGTAGTATAAGTATACCGCTTCCTGCCGAACGCAATAGACAATATACCAGCTTTCCGCTGTGGTTTCTAGTGGAGTCCCGGGGTAGAGCGTCCTCAAGGATCCAACTTTATACAATGACTGCTTTCAGTGGCATCCCGGGGTAGAACGTCCTCAAGGATCCAACTTTATACAACGACTGCTTTCAGTGGCATCCCGGGGTAGAACGCCCTCAAGGATCCAACTTTATACAACGACTGCTTTCAGTGGCATCCCGGGGTAGAACGTCCTCAAGGATCCACACGTCTGTCTCCTTCAGACTGTTAACATCGAATGCTTTTGACAGCAATCCTTTAACAACATTACATATTGTTTTGATGTCCTCTTTGCTCACTCAGTACTGGTGCGTTCTAGTGCATATCCGCATGCAACACTACCGTTATGAATCTGTGAACATACGAACAGTTGAACATCAGGTGTGCGGCTGTCTATCCATGCAGGAGAGTGGAAACTCTCTGTTTAAAATAATAATTTACAAATCTAATCTCAAAATGTGGCTCTATGGCTTAGAGGCTAGTGAAAGAGTTTAACTACTGTGCTGCTCGGGCAAAATTTAGAGTTAAAAATCTACCCAAAGTATTTCAGGATCCTCACCGATGCTACAGAGCCTGTGCACTGTGCTTAGCTTCTTCAGACTCAGATTTGAGTGAGAAGAAGAACGGAGCAATTATGGATGTGTTATGATGTTGATCCATTGCTTCAACTTCAAAATTTTACTATTTCATGATGGGTAGATTAAATTTTTTTTTTTTTTTTAAACATTCTTGTGGACTTATCTATTAAATGTTTACTCCACCTTTCTGAAAGTTATCCTGTTATACTGTGGTTACCATCTCCTGTTAAATTACTTATAATTTTTTTGTATTTCCTAACAGTTGTGAAGAGTAACTGCTCATGTGCCCGCTTCTTTGAGCAACATCCAACGATCATCGAAGACACAGAGGAGGAGAGATTGCAAATATTTCTTCACACTGTGGCTCATGGATTCTGTAAATGTTTGAAATCTGCATCTGATTGTCCAGACACCCAGAGATTGGCTAGTAAGACGTGGCTGCATCTGGCCGCTGCTGTAGGCAGTCTAGATTTGGTCAAGATTCTGGTGACCCAGGCGAAATTAGACATCAATGCAGCAACATCGCTGTACCAGTTCACTGCCTTATCCCTGGCTGTCATGCAGACCAAAAGTGAGTCTACCTTGAGGCTATCCTCTGAATAATGGCCACCTATTATGGCAGCCAATAAAAGGCCCTAACAAGGCCTCAGTCATATGAAAATTGCGGACCTCTTTCCTGTGACTATACCGCATACCGCGGAGAAGCTTCCACCGAGTTAAAGTCACAGCCAAGAGTATCCCTGCCCCGTTACGCGCGGCAGAGAGGGGGGCTAAACTAGATGGCTGGGACTCACTAGCAGAAACTACCGTATCTCCTGCAGCTTCGTCTTTTTATTTGTTACGCGCAGCGCGGGGAATACTCTCAGCGGAAGTCTGCATTTTACATGTGATTGAGGCTCTGTCAGGTTTTTGGTTTTTTTGGGCCGCTATAATATGTGGCCGTTATTCGGAGGATAGCCCTACCTTGACATTGCTGAGCTAATCAGATAGATAGCTGACATTGTTAACCATCACACAGAGAAGGCTAAATCTAGTCACCTCCAGTTGGAATACAGTCCTTTAAATGCCGATATATGGCCATGTCTCCTGTGACCTGCTCCTGAAAAGTGTCGTTCAATGTCTTTGGTTCTCTGTATACCTGCATAGTGTTTAGGAGCAGTGGATGTGAATTAGTCAGTCAATCAGAACATCGCTCTCTTCATGGCACGCATAAAAGTCTTTAGCCAATTCTCCAGCCCTCTGTGCTTTCATAGCCAATACATCTTCTATGTCCCATACCCACCTTCAAGGGGAGGTCAGTCTCTGCCTCTTTTTCCAAAAACTGCACCCTAAATCATTGTTTTCTCCAGACCACCACGGCGTCTGACAGGTCCAAAATACCTCAGCTTTCCTTGGTATTCAGGTTGTTGACGTTTTTCTTCTTCTTGGTTCACCTTACCTAAGTATGTTCCTATAGTATTTCAGTTCAAAGGCTCAGATTTTCTTCTTAAAAGACCTGAGTGAGAGTCCATGACTCATGTATTCATGGTAGTCAATATATTAACTAAATATAACATTAACTCTTTGAGTCCCAGGGGGTTTAGCATCAGAGGCACAAGGGGTGGTAATGCATTTTTTAAATTTAACAAGTGTAACACATTAAAACAGACCATACTAATTCAGATTGAACATCAATTTTTTAAATTTTTTAACTTGGAATTGGAATTGTGGGTGGGTCTGTGTCGGTGTCAGACTCATTTTTCTCAAATCTGTTTACACCAGATGACCTAGTTGGCTGGTTGTGTGGCCAGGCAAACATTGATGTCAATGTGAAATCCAAAGCAGAGAAACACACCCCTTTGGTAGACGCCATGTTGTCTGAAAAGTTCCATATAGTCAGCATTCTCACTAAAGCACCTGGCATAGATCTCAATGCTGTAAGTATGCCACTGTTTGCAGTTTGTAATTTCATTATTTTTGTTCTACTTCTGCTTCTTATTATTCTGCATTCTCCCATAAAAGGGCGGCTGGTACACTGTGTTATGGCCCACATGTAAAATTAGAATACCAGGCGCAACGAAACGCCACAATGAAAAAGTACTACCACCAGTCAGCAAATCAATACGGACTTAATATAGTCGCTGCTCATTTAAGGAGCAAATTAAAAGTCAAGGAGTTTTAGCATTTTTGTTTCCAAATATCCAATCCAATCCTGTGTTATGGTTTAGGCTGGGCAACACATCTGATTTTAGCAAAACTTTAATTAATCACCCTTTTTTAACATACTTGCTAAGGGCAGTGAGTCTACTGGTTTTTGTTGTTGTCCCTAAACCCCTTATGAGACATCTTCTTTCCTTTGTGAATTTCAAGGTGCTTTTTTCTGGATGTTCTCAACTGATGCTGTTATTACAACATCTAAACATAAGTATGACTGCTAAGAAACAGAATATAAACAACATATCCATACCAAGACTGTGCTACCAGTGCCAGACTTGGACATTATTAAGCAAACCTATATACAATTAACTCATGTGAAATGAGATACCCGTGCAAAGCTGGCAGCTTAACCTTCTGAGATAAAGTGACAAATGATATTGTCATACAAACTGTGAAACAACACCATGCATTGAATTCGTTGAGAAACAGAAGATCAAATGGTTTGATCATCTCATTAGAATGCAGCCATAGCGACTGCCATCACAGTCTCCATCACATCTCCACATGAAAAATCTTATGTGAAAGCAAGAGGATGCTATAGGAGAGCATGGACTGATGACATTAAAGACCATCTTCTTCGACACGAAAAGACAGTAGTTGTTAATAAACCATCAAGCTATGGTTTTGCAAACTGTTCCTCCCCACAACACTTGAGGACAGAAGTGAAAATTGATGATGATGATGATTTTTATTTTCATTGTTATGCCTTCTGGTTGATCCTACGCTAAATTTCTATTACATCATTCAGAGATCTTTATCTTGTTTCATTTACCATTTATCTTCTTCTTCGCATTTACCGGCTGTAAACTCTGGCAGAAAGTTCTGGCTGTTCATCCACTTCTGGACTGTAGTCCTCCTATTCCAGAACCGGAGTGTTGGGTGTGCATCCGTTTTACAGATCTGACTAATTTGTATGCAGACTGTTGGTTCCTTGCCTCTCAGGCAGATGCACTCCGACTTCGAAGGAAGCTCCCAATTAGTCGACTCTTACGACATGCTTTTGGGTAGGCAGTGGGTCTATTCTTGTTTTCCCTATAATAGGGCCCCGGAATCCACACGGGAAACAATTAACATTTATTGTTTGTTTTCTTTTCTGTTGCAGACAAATTTTAGGAATGAAACGCCATTGATTCTGGCAGTGAGAATGAACAGCGCCCGACTTGTAAGACAACTCTTGGAAGCAGGGGCAGATCACTCTATTCCTACAGCAGACGGAAGTCTGCCTGTAATGTTATCTGTAAATTCAGGGCACCTTGTTGTACGTGAATTTGTCAATGCCAAGGTACCTCTTAATACTGTCAACAGTCGTGGAGAATCTGCGGTTACATTGGCAGTAAGAAATAGTAAGTATAGTGATGTCCCTGCTTATGTTTTTTATTCCAACAACTTAACTCTTTGAGTCCCAAGGAACGCATCATATGTTCATAGGTTACTGCCTAGAAGCCCAATGAACGCAAGATGCGCCGATTTTAGTCTCTTTTGACTACTCCTTGGGCCTGTGATGCTAAACCCTCTGGGACTCAAAGAGTTAATCCCGTCACCCGAGAAGACTAAATCTAGTCACTTTGGATTGTGACAGTTTTATAAATAAAGATATACTGCAATGTCTGCTGTGACCTGTTCTGGAAAAGCATATTAAAATAGTGTTTAATAAACCAGGATATGAATAAAGTAACTAACAACAGAATTAAGGGGGTTTTCCTTATGACCATAATAGCATTTTTCAAGTTAAGTCAGTGTCAAATTTCCCATAAGCCTCAGTGATAAAAGTCACTGCATGAGTCACCCGATATGCTGTGATCTTCTAATGTGTGTGTTTTTTTGTTTGTTTTTTATGCCCAGGGTAATTTGTTCCATTTAATGCTTCACTCTGTTCATGATTTTTGATTAGCCCTTTATATATCTTTTAATATTTCAGAACACAATATAAGATATATAATTTTTTTTTAAATTTATTAGCAACCTGTAAAATGTGGTTAATTGTTTTAAGGATTTTTTCAAGGAACTCCCAGGAATTTGTGACCCATTTTTTTAAAGCATTCATTCATTCATTCAGTAGCATGTCCCTCGCGGAACCTCGCTGCCATAACAACCCTCCGGAAAACCTTCCTATCATGAGCAAGATGTCCTGCGTCTGATACACCCATCTGGAGATCATCTGCCACATCCTGCACCCATCTTCTCCTTGGCCTTCCTCTTCCTCTCTTCCCAGGCATATACCCCTCCATTATTATTTTCTCTAGACTTCCATGACGTTTCAAGTGACCAAAATATTTCAATTTTCTTTGTTTTATTGTCTTTACTAGCCAACCCTCTTCAATATTCAGCTCTTGAAGTATGGATGCATTTGTTCTTTTTTTTACCCAAGATATTCTTAGAACCTGTCTGTAACATTTATATTCAAATGCATTTATGCGCTGTTCCGCTTGTTTAGTAAGTGTCCAGGTCTCACAGGCGTATGTTGCAATGGGAAAGATGCATGCTCTTAAAAATCTGACCTTTGTAATTCTATCTGTACAATTCCATAATTTATTCAGTTGTTTTAGTCTTTGAAGAGCAATTGATAGTCGCCGTTTAATTTCTTTCATTGTGTCACCATTGTTGGTAACCAGTGACCCAAGATATTCGAAATTTTCCACCACTTCCAATCTTTCCTTATTAACATATATTTCCTTCTCCATGGCAGTTTTGTTTGTATGCATTATCTTTGTTTTTGCTATGTTAAGAAATAAGTTATGATTTTCACTATTTCTTTGGAGTGAGGTTAATAAGTTTTCTAAACCACTTTGTGATGTTGATAGTAATACTGTATCATCAGCATAACGAATTTCTGGTATTTCATGACCACCGATGTTTAGGGCATCATATTGTTCCTTGTTTATATCATCTCTTACATTTCTCATTATATTTTCGGCGTACAGATTAAACAAATACGGTGACAGCACACATCCCTGACGGACTCCTTGCTTGATGCCAAACCAGTCTGATGTCTCTCCATCTATTCTGACTGCTGCTTGCTGATCTTGATAGAGCATTTTAATGAGCTGCACTATATGTGATGGAAAGCCCATATTACTCATGATTTCCCAAAGCTTCTGATGTTGTACACAGTCAAATGCTTTTGAATAATCTACAAAACATAAGAACAGATTTACATTAAATTCTCTACACTTCTCTATTATTAAACGCATGTTGAATATATGATCTCTTGTTCCTCTTCCCTGTCTAAATCCAGCCTGAGCTACATTAATCTCTTCTTCCATTTTCTTAAAGCATTACTGGGGTGAAAAGATTAACTACTTATTGTACGTAATGGAGATGTCTTGAAAGACATGAACTCGTACAGAGAACTCACTCTTTCATTTGAAGAAGGTATACCCACATTCTTTGGGTAAATAATGAGAAAGAGAAAACTGAATTAAATTGTGGCAATAGGAAGGTTGGAGGAGGGAGTGAGAGACCAGGAGAGAAGATGCGGGACAGTTTGGCGTTATAGCATAGAGCAGCACTCGTGCCCAGTGCACCACTGCTGTGAAAAGTGTTCTTTGCGGTAAAAGTTAGTCTCCCCAGACCCCGCCTATATACACTCTAGCTCACTTCTGATTGGAAGGTCATGGGGCTCAGGAACTATTGAAAAATTGCAGGAAAACCCTGGTTAGTGCCTTGTGGAAGAGCTTGTACAGTGACCGCCTCCACCTCCATTCTTAAGCTGGATGTTGTGGTATCATATGCTAGGCTCTCCTGCACCAAACGTCGACCATTGTAACCAAGAGGTTTTGGTAGTTCCTGAGCCCCATGACCTTCACGCAATGGTGTTCCGAAATGTCGTTGATATCGCATGTCGAATATTTCAGCACGCCAGGGCTTTTAACACTCCAAAAACATGGTAAAACTGGGTCTAACACAACTCCCCCTAGGGAGTACTGCAACCTGTGTCACAGGCATTCTCTTTCTCAGAATGAAAACGTAAATGCAAGACATCACAGATACCAAACAACAGAGCAGGACACACCCATAACCTTCAGGAAAGTCGACCAGCCCAACAAACTTCTGAATGAAAAGTGACTTACTCTATTTGGGGAAATTAACGTCACACTAACCTCCTTTCCTTTTTTTTATTTTAACCACATTGGGGTAACAGCTTTAGTTCAAAAACTAGTATTAAATGTTTTTCGTCACAGCAACAAAAATTGGTAAAAATTGCAGGAAAACCCTTGATATCATTAACAAAATACGATAAACAATGCAAAATGTACTCATACGTTCTAGTCTGTTTCTGTGAATGCCATTCTTCATGTTCATCATCATTTATCTGAGTGACATAAATACGTTGTGCCTGTTTATTTATGACTTTCAACCAACACTTCTAAATTCTTCAGGCATTTGTTGTCTAGGTTAGCTTTCCCAGTTAGTTTTGTAGACATTTGATATCTCATATTGCCTGTGTGGGCTCCAGGACCCTATTGTGTGGGCCCCTGGACCCTATTGTGTGGGCCCCTGGACCCTATTGTGTGGGCTCTAGGACCCTATTGTGTGGGCTTCTGGACCCTATTGTGTGGGCTCTAGGACCCTATTGTGTGGGCTCTAGGACCCTATTGTGTGGGCTCTAGGACTCTATTGTGTGGGCCCCTGGACCCTATTGTGTGGGCCCCTGGACCCTATTGTGTGGGCCCCTGGACCCTATTGTGTGGGCCCCTGGACCCTATTGTGTGGGCTCTAGGACCCTATTGTGTGGGCCCCTGGACCCTATTGTGTGGGCCCCTGGACCCTATTGTGTGGGCCCCTGGACCCTATTGTGTGGGCCCCTGGACCCTATTGTGTGGGCCCCTGGACCCTATTGTGTGGGCTCCTGGACCCTATTGTGTGGGCTCCTGGACCCTATTGTGGGGGCTCTAGGACTCTATTGTGGGGGCTCTAGGACCCTATTGTGGGGGCTCTAGGACCCTATTGTGGGGGCTCTAGGACTCTATTGTGGGGGCTCTAGGACCCTATTGTGGGGGCTCTAGGACTCTATTGTGGGGGCTCTAGGACCCTATTGTGGGGGCTCCTGGACCCTATAGTGTGGGCTCCAGTACCCTATTGTGTGTGGCTTCAGGACCCTATTGTGTGGGCTCCAGTACCCTATAGTGTGGGCTCCAGGACCCTATAGTGTGGGCTCCTGGACCCTATTGTGTGGGCTCCAGTACCCTATAGTGTGGGCTCCAGGACCCTATTGTGTGGGCTCCTGGACCCTATAGTGTGGGCTCCTGTACCCTATAGTGTGGGCTCCAGTACCCTATTGTGTGGGCTTCAGGACCCTATTGTGTGGGCTCCAGGACCCTATTGTGTGGGCTCCTGTACCCTATAGTGTGGGCTCCAGGACCCTATTGTGTGGGCTTCAGGACCCTATTGTGTGGGCTCCAGGACCCTATTGTGTGGGCTCCTGGACCCTATAGTGTGGGCTCCAGTACCCTATTGTGTGGGCTCCAGTACCCTATAGTGTGGGCTCCAGTACCCTATAGTGTGGGCTCCAGGACCCTATAGTGTGGGCTCCTGGACCCTATTGTGTGGGCTCCAGTACCCTATAGTGTGGGCTCCAGGACCCTATAGTGTGGGCTCCTGGACCCTATTGTGTGGGCTCCAGTACCCTATTGTGTGTGGCTTCAGGACCCTATTGTGTGGGCTCCAGTACCCTATTGTGTATGGCTTCAGGACCCTATTGCAGTGGGGGGAATAGACCCACTGCTCCCTCACAAGCATGTTGTGAGAGTCAACTAATAAGGGATGTTTCCTTTGTAGGAGATACGATAAACCAACATTCTGCATTCAGATAAGTCAGATCTGTAAAAGGGATGGGCATGCAACACTCAGGTTCCGGAACAAGACTAAAGTTCACAAATAGATGAACAACCAAAACTTTCTGCACGAGTTTACAGCCAGTGAACGTGAAGTAGAAGTAACCTCATATGTGTGGTGACTTCATCTTCCCCTGATCTACAAATGACCCCATCCATTGCAGCTGCATGCAGATTGGTCAACCCCCCAAGGGAAGGCAGGGCCAGAGCATTGGTATTCCCTGCCATCCAAGCCATCTTGCAAAGTTTGTTGTCCTTGGCCGGCTTCATCCTTGTGGAGACCAGGATCAGTCCTTTCTTTAACTCTTTGAGTCCCAGGGAACGCATCATACGTTCTTACCTAGAAACACAATAAACACATGATGTATCGATTTTAGTCTCTTTTTACTACCCATTGGGCCTGTGATGAAACTCCTTTCTTTGTATTCTCGGGGTATCTGTGGTAAAGGGGTCAAGCCGTTTGCAGATCTTATACATGGTGCTGATCAAATGATCAAATTTTCTGAGCGAAGATCATTTACACAGACGGCTCAGGGTCAAAAAACAAAAGAAGTGCTTGGGGTTTCTTAGCAAAAGTTCATGGTCGACGTTTGGTGCAGGAGAGCCTAGCAAATGATACCACAACATCCAGCTTAAGAATGGAGGTGGAGGCGGTCACTGCAGCTTTCCGCTGGCTAGAGAACACGACACACACACACATCGTGATTGTAACTGACTCAGAAAGCATACTGAGGAAAATCAGGACAGGCATGCTTCGTGCAGAGTGGCATGCCTCGCTGCGGAGGACACAGTTGAGGAGTATTGTTTGGATTTTTTCACCAGGGTATGCCGGTGTGTTGGATAATGAACAGGCAGACAGACTGGCTGGCTCTGCACAGCTTGGTGGAATACTGATGCACGATAAGGCAGACGTGGTTAGTGCCTTGTGGGAGAGCTTGTACAGTTCGGAGGAGCAGATTGATCACCACAGTGGGGTGAGATTGATGCAGTTGGGAGTGACGGGAGGTTCTGGCAGATGCTCGAAGATAAGAGGAAAGGCAAGACGGACATTTAGTCAGAATGCTACTGGCACCATTAGTATCGGAACTTTTTGCTGGCTGCTGAAAATGGGGACCGAGCGCTTGTGGGAATGCCCCGAGTGCTGTGATGTCGGCTCCTGAGTCAAATCAAATCAAATCATACATGGTGCTCTGGTACTGGGCTCACCCAAAGAATCGTTATGATTTGACATGACTCCCTAACCTCGCAACCTTCTAGTGAGTCTTCCAAACATTATGGATTGCACCTTTCCCAGGAAGACCTGAGACTGATTCCCTTCACATATGAGCATCAGGTTTTTTTTAAGCATGTTAGACTTCTCTCTTTGACAGTGCCAATCAGTACATTTCAGTTTGTTCTTCTTCTTAAAGTCCATGCCGTATGGTGTTGGTTGTCATGTTTGTCCATAATCTTTAGTCTCGTGTACTTTCAGTCAACCCTGATACAGACGATCCTTCACGCCATGATGTCAGAGTTTCCAGCATCTGTTCTCTCAGTCTCCCTCTGCCTCTCCTCCCCTTCAACTTTCCTACTGTCACAGTTTACTCCAGTTTTATCATCACATGACTAAAAAATGTAAATTGTCTCCTTCTTATGTGGGCAATCAATTCTCTTTGTGAGTCAGTTTCTTTCAAGACGTCTTCATCACTCTTTTTATCTGTCCAGGATATTCTCATTATTTGTCTATAAAACCACATCTCCGCAGCTTCCTAATATATGTTCACTAATCTGCCACACAAGAAATCTGGCATTTTAACTCTTATAAAAATAATTACATGATATATAAATAAAAAATATGTACTCTGAGAACTCAATTAACACTAAATATCCCAGTTATAACACTGAGAGTTGAACAGGATATTTTTAAAAAATTACTTCTGCTACAAAGATTGAACAGCCTTAAAAGTCTATGGTTAAGCACCAGCAAGAAGATAAAAGTTAGAATTTTGAGAGCATGCATCTTCCCTGTGGCTACATACGGATGTGAGTCGTGGACTATCTCTCAGTCCTTAAGAAAGAGAATAGGGGCTTTTGAGCTGAAATGCTATAGAAAGATTCTCAGACTATCTTGGACAAAGAAGATGAGAAATATTGACATCTTAAAAGATCTAAACATCAAGGAAGATTGGCTAATAAACATTTAGGCTTTTTCAAAAGCCTAAATATTTTGGTCATATCAAGCGCCACGACGGATTGGAAAAAATTATAGCAGAAGGCATGGTACCAGGAAGGAGGAGCAGGGGCCGACCGACATGAAGATGGGCACAGGATATAAGTGACTCCTTGAGTGTGAAAGATTTATATCCAAATTGTAAAAAGCCGAGAAACCTTTTCACACTGGTCGTGTATCTGGACTATGATGCCAGTCTTATATTTTTTTTGACCAATCAGCGTTTGATGAGTGATGTGGTCAACATAATGCTGGCCATCTTTACTTCCCAGAACATTACATGGTACTCAATGTTGGCTAAAATCAATCTTGGAGCCAAAGTCAGTTTTGACAAAATTAAAAAAATCCTACCTTGATTTGAACCTTTGACCTTTAGGCAGTGGGTGAGCATCTAGCCACTACACTACTGCGGCTCTTAAACTAGCATTCTAACTGTCCATACATTTATTCTTTTATTTTTTCCAAAGTAGAATCATGGTTTTTCTTTGAATTCCTCGATAACTTAACATTGAATACCTCGATAACTTTATATTAAATTCCTCAATAACTTTACATCTACAGAAATTCAGATGAATAAATAGGTTTCTCTCTTTAATCGCAGGGTCAGTGGACATTTTAGACGTGTTGATCGCAGGAGGGGCCAGCCTTCGGGCAAACCCAGCTCTACCAGCTCTGGTCCTAGCCGCCGACCTCGGCCATTTAAGAACTGTGATCTACTTGCTGGACATCGGAGAAGACCCAGATCAGAAGAATGACAACAGTTGGACTGCTCTTCATTTTGCATGCATGAATGGTTTTGCCATAATAGCTGAAGTGTTGCTTAATCGAGGCGCAGATCCAAATGTCGTCACTTCCTGTCACAATACACCCCTGTCTTTGGCTGCATTTCACAGGTTAGGATTTTTTTAAAATCAATTAATTTTTTATTTTCATTTTATTCTTAGTGGGACATGTATTAAAAGACAAGAGGATTAATTTCAGTGCACCAGATTTCATTCCATATGTCTCTCTCCCTCTCTCTCTCTCTCCCCTCCTCTCTCTCTCTCTCTCTCTCTCTCTCTCTCTCTCTCTCTCTCTCTCTCTCTCTCTCTCCCCCCTCTCCTTCTCTCTCTCTCTCCCCCCTCCCTCTCTCCCCCTCTCTCTCTCCCCCTCTCCCTCTCCCCCTCTCCCTCTCCCTCTCCCCCTCTCCTTCTCTCTCTTCCTCTCTCTCTCTCTCCCCCCCTCCTTCTCTCCCCCTCTTCCCCTCTTTGGCTGTTCACAAAGCTGAGTGTCCCAAACCCTGCCTTGACAAAAGGCTAATCTTTTCTCGTTGTACTTATCAGTTGTTGTTTTTTTCATAAATTTGTTCAGTTCTAACTTGCTCTTATTTCTTATTTTGTCCTTGATCCAACAACAAAGCATAGACCCACAACCAACTTGCTCCAGACAAGTTCATGGTTGACAAAAGCAAATGTTTCCCTATTGTGAATTTGAACAAAGGAGACATAAATAATAGATTGCACATGTTATTGCCTGGCATATTTCACTGTATCTGTAATCACTGTATCTGTAATCACTGTATCTGTAATAAACAGCAGTCCAGAAATGTGCAGACAATGGTCGTTAATGAAATGGTCGTTAACTGTGTTTACCCTGGTGAAACAAGCACTTGTTTTGAATGTAGCTGATTTTGTGTTTCGTTTAAAAGGGATTATTTATTTGCTTTATTGTAATCAGTTGTTACTTAGGTATGCACCTGACACGATTCAGCGAAATATGCCAGACAGTAAATTGTGCATTCTGTTGTTTGTGTCTTTTGGGTTCATGGTTGGTCGGCTTTTTGCAGCTGAAGCTTTTTCACAGGATGAGGAAGGCAGCTTAACCTGACCACCCTACTTGCCTCTTATAGCATGCTGTCTGGAGTGCAGTGTTATTCTGCTTTCTCTGAAGACCCCGGTAACATACAGACAAATATAGTTACTATTAGTTTTTTTTTTCAAATTACCTGCTGATTAACGCTTTCAGCCCCAGAGGGTTCTGCAGTAGATGTCCAAAGAGGCAGAAAAACACTTTTAAAAATAATAAATGCTAAAATTTAAATGACCAATATAGATGCCAGATTTCAGTAGTGTGCTCTGACAAAAAAACATAAGGTGAAAGAAAGCACCATGTGATTTTTGAGATTAACAAGAAAGGATTAGCACATTGTGCATCTCTTGGTACTGAAAGCATTAAATAGTTCAGGGTCCCCTTGTCAGTTCCAGGGACCCATTTTGCATTTGGGGGTAATAAGAATAGACACCCCGCCATTCCTCCAACACCAACAAGCGTATTATAAAATACGACTAAATTAAGATTTAGCTGAAACTGGATGTATTGGGTCAGATTGTACAGATATCACAGCCTAGCTGTAAAACACAACACAGTATGCTAACCCCACTTTTAGTGGTAAACGCAGAAGAAGAAACAGTTCTCCTGCATGGTGTAATGAAGAAAACAAAAAAATAAATGACCCTTTCCCACGCCTTCAGGCGTATTGGGCAAATAGGGCTAGGCCTGTATTTTATAGACCAAACTGGCACTTGGTGGGTGATGTGGTTGACATCACGTGGGTGACAGGTTGACCACATCACGCCTGTCACCTTTACTTCCCAGGACTGCACCTGGTACCCACTCATGGCTGGGTTGACTTGGGGGGCAAGGTTTTTTGGGGTTTTTTTTTTTAATTTTGAGGAAGCCTGGTTCCCTCAGGACCTGAATCCATGACCCTCCGATCCACAGCGAGCGTCTAGCCGCTCCGCCACGGCGACTCGCACAACATGGTGTATGTTGATATATTTATGATACCTTTTTAGTTAACTTGTTTCCCTGTTCGACAGTTTATTTATTTGTTTACAGACATCGGGCTATATCAGAACTGCTGCTGTCACATGGCTGTGTGGTCAACACCTTTGACCTTGATCTTGACACACCCCTCCACTTTGCTGCTTTCAACAGAGATAGGGACATGGTGCAGAACCTTCTGGATAATGGGGCTCTGGCTTGTGTGTTTAACAGGGCCGGTGCCACACCGTTGTTTAATGCTGTTGTGTCCTGCAGTGTCGAAATTGTCAAAATATTGTTACCACATTACACTGACCTTGAACTGCATGCCACTAGTCAGGGTTTCATGTATGAAGAGTTCACATATAAAATTCAGCTACGGTACCAGGTACCTCGTTCAGTTTTATGGGTGGCAGCCAGCCAGGCAAGTCTAGCAGTGACCACGCTGCTGCTGTTTGCAGGTTTTAATGCATCGGCCGAAGAATGGATCCGCAATTGTGACTTCCCAGCATGCCTTTTGTCAGATGACATGAATAACTTGAGACAGCTGCTGATGGACAGTGCCGCGACCCCACTGTCCTTGCTGTCCCTGTGCCGGTGTGCTGTACGGCGAATCCTAGGTCCTGGCAAACAAAGACAGGTCAACCAACTGAATGCATTGCCTCGGAAGGTCAAGAATTACATCGCACTGAGAGAACTTTAACCCTTTGAACCCTCACCTTGTTGACCTTTAGTTATCCTCTACCACCCTTCCTAAATGAAAAGACTTAAATATCCTCTTACCACTCCTGTTCTTCATTATAATCATTTTGTCATATCGTCTAATGAAATGCGGCGTCCGTGGCTAAGGCTTTGCGAGTCTGACTCGTAATCCAACGTATCGCGATCGAAACCTGCGTGGGTTGCATGGATTTTATCGTGGTATGGGACGTCGCAGGTCAACCCAGCCTCAAATGGGTACCAGGATGGGCTGTCCTGGGAAAGTAAAGACGGCCGGCGTAATGCTGACAACATTACCCACCGAGTGCCGATTGGTCTGTAAAAATATGGGTGCTCTTCCCATATGCCCGATGCGCCTAAGAGCGTGTAAAGGGATCTTTACTTTTACTTTATCTAATGAAATATATTTAATAAAGAAAAATATAAAGAAATAAAATATATATATCTAATTGAATATGATGAAAATGATACAGAAAAATAGATTCTATTTCCTGGAAGCTAAATATAAAAAAAGAGAGTTAATGAAAGAAATTTTAAAAAAGACAGTTGAAATATTAACAGATAAAATACTCTTTTTAAGACCACACTGGAGGAAAAAGTCGAAAGCACGAGACGGAGAAGTAGGCCATCGATAAAAGTGGGAGAACATCCAAAGATTGGACAGAAGCAGTCTAGAGAGTTTATTACTAAGACAAGAAACTGAGTGTTGGAGCTGCAGCCTACCTTTATTGTGGAGATGGCACCTGATTGATTAACAATTCTGCTCCAAATAGTTGCCACTGTTTTCGATGAGAAATAAATTTACAAGTACTAATTAGCATTCACAGAAGTAGCGAAAGAAAACTGAAGATCACAGGACCTACTGGAAAAATATAAAGATTTCAAACACACTGAGATTCAAAGAGAGCAGAGCTCATGAAAGCATTCAGCAGAGAGATCTTAGTTCTGGCCAGTTGACATTCTGGTAGAAACTCGGCTGTAGTGATGAGTGGAGGACATGAGGCATACCACAGCCTTCATAGAGGTCCCTCGCCTTCTTGTCTGAACACCACTGACATCTTCTTCTTCGTTCATGGGCTGTGAATTCTGTCGGAAGGTCTCGGTAGTTCGTCCATTTTGGCTTTTACCTGTACCTGAGTTTTGTGTGTACATCTGTTTTACTGACTTATTTGTTTGCCGATCCCTGCCTCACCGGCAGATGTACTCCGACTTTAAGGGATGACAGAGATAATAAAAGAAGAGATTTGAACATATAAAGAGATATAGGAATTTTTTGCTGGCTGCTGAAGATGGGGATGCAGCACTTGTGAGGATGTCCTGAGTGTAGTGATGTTAGTTGTGAACAGAATTCAGGTTTATTTTAGCACAACGTACAGACTAGCTAGAATTAAAGACAGCTTGGTCACATTTTCTCTACAGATTTTAGGTATTTTATTGTCAGTAGACTGCATCCAATCCAGGTTTAAAGAGGGACCTAGCCACATAATTGTGCTCGTTTTAGAATTGTGATGTAGTACAACTTTGATTAACTGTCGCTCCTTTAACTTTTAGTTTCTGTTAGCCGTCGTCGTTTGAAAAAGCCCATGAGTATCAATAAATAAAAACCTCAAAGACACAGAAAGAGATGACAGATTATTTTAAAGTAATGTGGGTTTTCACAATACATTTCTGTAATTAATACTATTATATTAAAGTTTATATTGATAATTTTTTTAATTAAATGTAATATGTATGTATTATTCACTTTTAAAGGAGTTTATTTTCATTTTCATCCCAAGCCTGCAGTGAAATCACATTACTGTAAATATGAGTTAAGGGATTTCTATTATCTGTCTATTCGGTTATCTGTCATAACCCTGATCCAGATGGTGACGGTTAATCAAAGTTTTACTGTACCATTACAGGTTTAATCAGCTGTGTTTTTAATGAATCCTTGAATGTGCATTTGTTCAAACATTTTTGCAGATTTTTGCAACATGTCCATCTGATATTAGAGCTGTGATATTAGGAAGAAAAAAAAAAGGACAGGTGGTTGGGTTGGATTGTATTTCTTTGCTCCTTTTAAATTATAATTCAATGCAAGACAGTATTATTGCAAGTTTGGCATTTACAATTTACTCAAATATTGTGACATTGTTTATTTATTGTTTTACAATTAAAATGTTTAAAAGTGTTTGAAGAAGAAAAGATAATTTCATAGTGCCAGGTTTTGTTGCAACTGGTGGACCAAATCTAGCCCTCAGAGACCTAGCAAGTGGTCTGCGGATCATTGCCATATGTGTTATATTAATGATCTGTCTACGCTAGCGCTCTGGCCTCTGACCCGTGACAATCCCCATTTTCAACATTTTGCCCCTGAGTAAACTCAGTTAATTAGCCTTGTTGTAGAGTGACTGTTCTTTCGCTGAAAGCGTGACACAAAATATGAAAGATGGTAACTAAAGCAACTTCTTCTTCATCTGCTTTTGCTCTTATAAAACTGGTTAATTATTAACATTCTGTCTTTTTGTTTACAGTTAGGTTGCGATATCTGCACCTTTCGCCCCCAATACATCCAATTTCAACAGAGCTGCAATTAGTTGCTTTTTACAACATGCCTGTTAGGGCAGCAGGGCGTCTGCCCCTTCCCCCCCCCCCCCATCCCCTATGCCAAAATGGGGCCCTGGGACCTGCACCGGGAGAAATTAGAACTAAAGCTGGTAGGTCTCTGGCATGAAGTTGTACACCTACATATCATATGTTGTACAGATGATGGATTTATGCAAAGCCTAAACCACAGACATGACATGTGATACATCATGTGATTACCTGAAATGAACAGGCAGGTAGATTTGCTGGTGCTGCATCACCGGGTGGTGAAGGCACACGTCAAGCTCATTGTGGTCAAGCTTGTTGGGAGCAAGAAGACAATCTGGAAGTTCAAATAGATCATGACAGTGAGCTGAGAATTGTGAGACGGAAGTGACTGGGCGATCTGGCTGTCACTCCACACTCAGAGGAAAAACCAGATGGACATACAGTCAAGCTGCTACTAGTACCATGAAACTGGAACTCTTTGAAACCCAGCTGCAGTGGATTCCATCTCATAGTGGCATCAAAGGCAATGAAAGCGCTGACACTTAAACCAAAGAAGCTAGCAGCAAACCGTAAATCCACTAGCCACTATCTTTCAGAAGTCAAAATTCTTGGCTCTCCTTGCAGATCCGGACGAGGGTAGGACGCGGGCTGGACGACTTAGTTCAGTTTAGTGGGAGTTCTCTCCCTTAGCCGCACTCGAAACAGTGAGCGGAAAAGTCCACGAAACAAATGACATACTTACCTATCATCATACGGTTGCGTGTAAGGTTGCGTAGTCGTCATACGGTTGCCTGAAGGGTTGCGTTGTCATCATACTGTTGCGTGTAGGGCTGCGTAGGGTTTGGGTTAGCCGTAAGGAGAGCCGTAAACTCTATGGACCACTGAATGAACTAACAACGACAGTGAAATTTATACAGGAGACAAAACTGCTGATATAGACAACTTATTTCAGGCGATCGAAAGAAGAAGAAGAAGGTGTAACCCATTAGTGCTCGGTTCTTCTTCTTCTAACTCAAGTCTGAGTCCGAAGAAGCTCAGCACAGTGCACAGGCTCTGTAGCACCTGCAAGAATCCTGAAATACTTGGGTAGATTTTTAACTCTAAATTTTGCCCGGACAGCGCCGTTAGGCTACACTTTTCGATTTCCAACTGCCAAGGGATTTTCTACGTGCGCAACAATACACACGGACGTCCGATCTCACTACCCAGAGACCAGGGGGAATTACTAGAAGTCCAAGTCCACGTGAACAATCCCAACCCTTACAGGGGATTGAACCCAGAACCTCTAGCACTTGAGGCGGACACCATGTCTCGAGACCACGCAGTCCCCTCAACTAAACTTTTTGGAAACCTAAGAGACATTGAGATGACATCCAAATTTATGGCCCATCTGATTAAACACATGACCACTGAAGAAGAAAGAACTCTCTGAGGACAGTGTGTGTGTGGGAATGTCCCAAGTGTTGTGATGTCACTTCTTGATTCAGCCTAACTCATGGCCCTGATCTTTGACCTATTGTGATATATCATGGTGCTATTATTTTGCATGTTGAATTGTTGTATAATTTTTACCGAATCCATTTATTATACCTTGTCATGAAATCCTTATACGTTATATTTGTAAAGTGTTCCTTTTTTTGTATAACATTTACACTTAGATTAATATATTTTTACACAGAGAGAACCTTTTGTGTGTTTTTTAGCCAGTGTTCCTGAGATGATCCTGTGTGTTACCTGTTTTGAAATAAACATTTTGTTGATGCAATAGATTGTGTTTATGTGTATGTTTGTTTTTAAATCATCATCATCAGATTTAATTTGATTTAATTCAAGAACTGACATCGTACCACTCAGGGCATCGCCATAAGCACTCCGACCGCATCTTCAGCAGCCAGTGCAAAGTTCCTATACCAGTGGTGCCATTAGCATTCTGATTATTTGTCCTCTTGCCTTTCCTCCGAACGTCAAGTATTGGCCTGAGCCCTTTATCAATCCTCGCTGCATCACTCTCACCAGATTGGGAGGATACATTTTCTGTTCCAAATTGTACACGTGCTTCCATAAGGCCTTAACCAGTTTTGCCTTATTCATCAGTTCTAGTTATGCCTAGTGGCACATGAGGCTTCAGAGAGGACTTTCCATGCTTTCCTGCCTGTGCAATCTTCAGTGCAGTTTTCCATGTCAAAGATGCCGCACTCAGGTCACTTTCCATCGTTCGTCTCCATGTTGTTTGTGGGCGCCCCTGATTTTCTCTTTCCCTCTGGTGTCCATGTGAGAGCTGTTTTGGCAGGTATATCAGAAGTCATTCTCATAACGTGGCCAAGCCATTTCCATCTTCTCTTGGTAATCATACTGTCTAAAGTTTCTTGGTTTGTGGCATGAAGTAGTTAAGTGTTTGAGATTGTA